AACTTCCTTATGTGTTCTTACCCTTTTTAGCCGCCACTGCACTGGGTGTGGGCATCATCAACATCCTCCACATAGTCAACCCTTCACAGGTGATTCTGTCTGGAGTCTTGGCCTCTTACTACCAGGCGCCAGTGCAGCATGTCATCTCGCAGAGAGCGCTCTTCTCTGTCCAAAACATCAAGGTTGTAACATCAGACTTGGAAGAACCAGCTTTACTTGGAGCAGCCAGCATGGTGTTAGACTATGCAACCAGAAGAATATATTAAAGAACAAAATCATTAAAACCTGCAAGGCAGTTTTGTCCCTGTGGTCTAACAAACATACAAGTACAGTTATTATTCTCCAAAGTTGAAGTCTGTTAGTCGGATTAAAATCCGGAAACACATGTGAAGTGGGAGTGGGTCTAGTGCACGAACCAGAAATCCTAATTCTCTTTTGTACAGTGCCTAAAGTATCGAGGTTGAATTAATCTCCAAAACTTATCTGTACAAGCCAGAACCTTCCTTCTGTGCTTGTGGTGTGGATGGATGGAATAGTCTATTTATAGAAACCTTGTGACCAAATTATAGCTGAATCTTGCTTCTGTTGCTTTCTTTCTATTGTAACTTTAGTTTTCTATCAATTTCGTGCGGATGTTGCATTTCCAATTGTATCTGTTTTCAACATTACACAATTTACATTTTTAGTTTTTTTGTGTGTGTTGTTGTTGTTGTTGTTGTTCTTCTTGTTCTTCTTCTTTTTTATGAATGAAATAATCTAAAATGGTATTAAGTAACTTTAAATATACACCAATCTGTCACAACATTAAAACGGCTGTGAGGTGAAGTCAGTAGCAGCAATTATCAAATTGTTCCTTTGTTGATATTGTTGGCACAAACAACTCACTTACATGAAGAACACCCAACAATGTGGTAGTAGTCCCCAACAGCAGCACCAGCCTTGCCTTACTATAAAGATTCAAAGGAACCCACAAGACCTTTGCCCCATTTAGAGGACAAGTGGGACATGCAGAGTACTAGGCAGCTGGTTTTAATGTTGTCGGTGTTTGGTGTATAATAAACATGATTAAAA